ACGGAGTTACACAAGTAGGAGCCAAGGGGAACCCGTGTACAATATTTGAAAGTCTGCCAAATACAAAAAATAGCGGAAACGAACTTTTATATTGGAATTCGATATGGCCAATGTTCTCATGATATATCCAATTGTAATATTGAACGACTTGAAAAAGTATCTGTATAATGGTACAGGAAATTGATCAATTTCTATTTTCCTTTTCGAAAAATTAGAAGTAAGTATGTATATTTTACAGACAAGAAGTCAATTTATTAGATGCTTTGTTTTTATAACAATTGATCCACAAGTCAAATATGTTTAAAAAACTTTACACAACTTCTTCTTAATAACCAAAAGGCATAGGGTAATGATATTTACACAGAAGCAAACTGGGATGAAGGGCTACTAACTTTGTTCAATTAAATAACCTTTCACCCAATTTCAATGTCGCAGGGGTCAAATATGTTTAAAATCTTCACACAGCTTCTTCTGAATAAAGCTTGGTTCGGACATCAGGTTCATGAAACACTAAAAAGAAATACCGAGAACACTTGTTTACAGAAAGGTACATGACCACGGAAGTTCTGTGATTTGACCATCCCACCATCTGATGGTAATATATTACACAGGAGACAAAGACTAGAAGCCATATCTCGGTTAATCTCGCTAGTGTTATCTGCAAGTTGGAGAATATCATTGGCAAGAATAATGGAAGATCTGGAACAACGAACTTTTTCAGCACTTGACAATTTTGGTAACTAGGTGTGCTAACCAAATGGAAAGATATCCTGAATAATTAAGAAGTGTAAGGCCGTTAACCTGGATTTCATGAGGTCTCTAAATGGACACGTAATTCATGCCTTTAAATAGCAAGCATCTGTCAACTTCCTATTACGGACTTCGATAAATCACCTGTCTTGCTCGCCAGTGATATGTACCGGTATTCTTGTTCGTTGACGATCATGTATGGCATAAAGGGACACAGAAAATATAGCAAAACTCACAGAGGACCTGCATAGTCTCAAACATTAATCATTGGAGGATCAAAGCAACAGAGTAATTTGAAAGAGGAGGATCAGGGGAGGAGGCATTAGTCATATATTGGGCAATATGTTTTATTTTCAAAAACCGCTGGATTCACAGAGGTTCCCGAAGATCATACTAATACCAGACTTCTTCACACATCACTTGTTAGACCTCATTTACAATATAGAACCCCATTGTCAACCGGATACGAATCTGTTGGATGTATTCGAAGCAAACACCAAGCTACAAATATTGTTATAATTGAAATATATTTCCGAAACGAATAAGGAAGTTAAACATTAATTCACAGTTTGGACTTAAATGTTCCTGTGTTGTCACAACACATAGCACAGAAAGGGATCATGGCCTGAGTTCCGAATCAATAGCTCGCTCGCACAGCACTGAGGTGATTCCAGATGGTCCTGAAAGGTGAGCGCTTCCTCTGCTTGTATAGTACCGTCATATCTTTTATTCAATTCCAGAAGAGTTTTCATAATTAACCAATGATCTAATACGTACATAGACAATGAAATGTCTTGGTTTGAAATAAAGTTGTGCCATATTTCTTAAACGTCTTAGGTGAAAAGTGGCTATATGTAGATGTCAACAGAACAGGCCCTAGAGTACCAAGTTTGAAGAAAATCGGTTAACATTTGTTGAAGTATTTGCACGGAAACGAAGCGCGGCAGATAAAGCATTTTTCATTATTCAAGGGGCAAGAACTCCACAAAATGGGGTCCGCTGAAAGTGGTCATCGAACTTGGCCGAGCCCTTAAGGCATTTAACCCTGTGACCAAGTTTGAAGAAAATCGATTAACATTTGTTGTAGTTATTGCACAGAAACGAATACAGCAGATAATGACATTTTTCGTTATTTAAGGGGCCATGACTCCGCCAAATGGGGTCCGCTGAAAGGGGTCATCGAACATGGCCGATCCCTTAAGGCATTTATCCCTGTGCCCAAGTTTGAAGAAAATCGGTTATCATTTGTTGTAGTTATTGCACGGAAACGAAACGCAGCAGATAATGACGTTTTACGTTATTCAAGAGGCCAGAACTCCACCAAATGGGGTCCGATGAAAGTGGTCATCGAACTTGGCTGAGCCCTTAAGGCATTTAACTATGCATGTGGCCAAGTTTGAAGATATCGGTTAACATTTGTTGTAGTTATCGCACAGAAACGAAGCGTGACAGACAGACGGACAAACCCAAATTAATATTCCCCGTTTCGGTGAAAGCGGGGGATAAATAATACATAGCTTTAGCCACACATTCACTATTCCCAAGATACCAATGATAGGGAAAATCTGACAACACTTCGCAATAATACATTGGTGTTCTTTGTCCTTTGGACCAACCTCTAAAAACATTGGTTTAAAACAGATAACTACTTCTTCAAAGCCAACAATAATAGGCGCGTAGCTGTCGGTTCGCTGGGACGCAGGTAAGTCCACCAAATTTTTACACAAAAACAATCAGCAAAAACGAAAACACTGCTAGCGGCATACTTAATGCATATTCAGAAACTATTTGCTGATATGAATTCAATTACAAACGTGTTTTTATTGTAGAATGTGTCAATTTCGCAAACGATTCGTGCAATTTACCCTCTGTAAATGAATCCACTCCAACCAAGGGCTGGCTACGTCCTTGAATTACCATGAAATCCGAAAGAAATGGAACCTCGTACAGGTTGGAGGCAAAACGATTGGATATTGAAGGATAAAATTAGCAGTCAAACCATTAGTTTAAAAGACCACATTGAAATTTCGTATTCGTATTACTCCTAGACTGACGCTTTTGCGTCGGATAATTCACAGGACACGCATATATTTCTAGAATGATAAACAAGAGATCCCAGAAGGATCTTGGCGCCCACCATTGTACCATCTTCATTTGTTCTTTGTCAGTTCGATCTTTTCTCTTCTTTCCTCTAATCTGTTTGATCGAGACATGTTAACAGTAAATGCTCCTTGAGGTAACTTTTGATCTAAACTTAATACTGATGTGTATGAAAGCCAACCTTCAAAGTGAGTTTGTCATTTCACATATTCACTAGTACAGTACTTAATGTGAAAGAAACAGAATCGATCATTGCAATATGAGAAAGATCTGTTTTGTTCTTCCTTTAGCCATTTTGTTTTTATGATCAGTCTCAAAATATATCAAGGGGAACCTACATATTATCAAATTTGAGTTATATCCCTCAAGTTATTCCTGAGCAATAGTACTAACAAACCTTCAATGTAAAAAATAGAAGATGGCTGTCGGTAGGCCATTGTGTTTAACTGATCAGTATCAAAAGTAAACATGAAAAATAAAAGATAGTGGGGAACCTGCATTGGCTGGCCCCCAATTATTTTTTTGGGCGAGTAAAAGATGTGAAGCACTGGCCCAAATGACATATTGGTTGACCAAATAATTTTGGGAAGAAATATTTCCACAGCATTTAACACAATGCTTCAGCACATTTAAATTACATATAACATGACAACGATTGCAATATGTAAAACAGAATAAAACATTATATTTTTAATTCTTCAACCCTAGTTAAAACCTGACATGATCCACTCCATTCAGGTCTTCCCAAAAAGAAATACACAAAACTCGCACCTCAAAGAAGACACATTTTCTAAATCACGCACAGTTCGATTCAAGTCGAAGTAATGACAATTGATAAATGTACTGCCTCCCAGTTAAAGTGGAAGGGACTATAATTTCTTTTATTCATTATTTTTTTCAACAGTAGCTCAAACTATTTTTGTAGGGCCAGTGACTACCTCACTTTTAACAACTTTTAGTAACTCGAGCAAGACTTTAACCGCCAATGGCGAGCAAGCGACCATCCATTTCAGCCACTGCTGCACAACAAGGGGATAAGGGGAACCTACAAATAAAATTTGATAAAGATCCCTCCCGTACTTCCCGAGAAATAGCGATAACTAACTTTTACCTTCAAAATCCAAGATGACTGCCTGTCGGCCATGTTGTTTATCCGATCAGTCTCATAAGTTGCCCTGCACAGCTAAGGGCCAAGGGGAACCTACATATAAAATTTGAGAAAGATCCCTTTGGCACTTCTTGAGAAATAGCGATAACTAACTTTCACTATCAAAATCCAAGATGGCTGCCTATCGGCCATGTTGTTTATCCGATCAGTCTCATAAGTTGCTCTGCACAGCTAAGGGCCAAGGGGAACCTACATATAAAATTTGAGAAAGATACCTTTGGCACTTCTTGAGAAATAGCGATAACTAACTTTCACTATCAAAATCCAAGATGCCTGCCTGTCGGCCATGTTGTTTATCCGATCGGTCTCATAAGTTGCCCTGTACAGCTAAGGACCAAGGGGAACCTACAAATAAAATTTGAGAAAGATCCCTTTGGTACTTCTTGAGAAATACCGATAACAAGAATTGTTTAAGGACGGACGACGGACCACGGACCACAGACCACAGACGCAGGGTGATTTTGAATAGCCTACCATCCGATGACGGTGGGCTAAAAATGTATAGGCCGTTCTACATCAGAAAAGCAGCTTTGGAGTCACGACTAGAGGTGTTTACTTGTAGGGCGTTCCTTAGTCCATGCCATGTTCACAGTGTCCCATGACCTGGTATTGTATTAAGAATGTGTACCCGAGTAAATTCAGGTCAATCCATGAGACCGTCTAGTAAGTAATCGACGTTCATACGGGATCTCTAACGAAAACTGGGCACAGGTTGTCTTATACAAACTACGCCGTTAAAAAGGTGGTATATAAATGGTTGTGTGTATATTGTGTCGCGGTGACCCAGTGACCGACTTTATCTGATACACACATCTGTACACGTGCTATCATCATATAATCAATAAATCCTATGTGTTAACTATCACATTTTACTTGTGTATATATCGATATATAACTAACATATACTCCGTTGAAATTGTTTAAAGCTCACATGGCAGATTATTTATTGTTGTCATGTGACCTTTTATAAAATACAGGCTATAAATACACGCCAGTGTGTACAGTCACGGCGAACGTCAGGTGCACATTCTACTGGACCACCTCGAGATCTGTGGCCACGCTAGATGATAAACAATCAGCGACAGTAGGTGATAACTGGTATCTGTATGACCTTATCATACCACGTACTGTATGCATTGTTTGATTACTACCTGATGTGGATAATAGCACAATGCGAACTGGGTGTATTCCGGGTCGTAATCTCTGGACAAAACAGCACTAATACGTAGATATCCACTGACGAAGGCAGTGGTCATTTGATGTCCGGCGCAGTTGAAGTGAGTTCACAATATGAGGTTCTCAGTCCTGCTGGTGTGTGCCTTTTTAGTGTATGTGGGTACGTATGACATGGTAAACAAATGTGTGTATGCTTTGTCCATATACCGTAATATGATATCGGAAACTTAAACTCAACGATTGGATAAAAATAGTTTCTTAAAAAGTGAATTTATTGATAAATTTTGCTTATTTTAATTGGAACAAATGAAGTAAATTAGACTTCACGACCAAATATCCAGAGCGAACTTAATTACTTGACGTACAATTTTGAAAAAACTGATAGCAAATTATGCGGTTGGTATATTGCCGAGGAAGAAATAATAAAATTCATTATTCAATATTGTATATCCAATCCATCTGATATGTTACATTCTACACATCACAAAAGGTCTACCAAAGGCCAATGCTGAGTCATTGTACGTCACGTGCCTTTAGTCCGTCGTAAACGCTTTTAATGGTTATAGCAGTTACTTTTGTTTTGTACGAAAATAATTTATTTAAATCTGATTGAAGTAAGTATTTTACGTCAATAACGACTGAAATGATGTCACAACCATGCAATACGTACATTGACACTAGTGTTCCGATCTTTTTTTCTTTCTTTTTTCGTTCTGTTAACCGTAAACGCATTCGATTTGTCAAAAATTATAGTAACCGATAGTCCACTTTAAAATTTTCTTTTTTTCTTTTAACCACAAAGATCTTTCCGATAATGCCGGAATGCTTTTTTTTATCTTGGGATTGGTGAATAATTGATTATTTCCGATTTTCAGCTTAAAATTAAAAAATAAAATTAAAAAATACATTTCAAAAAACCTTCCTGTTTTCCGTTGCTCGTATGTCCTCCCGTAATAATCGTTACAGTTCATGTCCTTATAAAATTCAGAGTATAGTTGCATGAGGCAAACTAGCACTTCCGTTATAAAATATCGTAAAACCACTGCTCTTCATACTGTAGTGGAAAGGGCTTTAATTGCCTAATTCAAGTTTAACATTTGGTAAAATAAAATTGATTTGAAATAAAAAAAAATATCGCCATGTCAACGGAACATTGTCTGCATTCCTCATATTTTCAATATTCATTACCTGTATGGATATTAATTATGACATGTAATTATCAGGTATTGCTTTTCAATGGCAGCCGTTGAACTAGAAAACAGTTACTGAGACCATCGATCTGCCTATAGTAAGATATTAACAGAGAAATCTATTGGGTTTTTTATTATTATTGTTGAATACTTGATTTGTCACGGCATTATATATAAATGTGCCTGTGTGTTTTAGGTGCCGACTATTCGCAATACAGGGATTTTCTCCAGAAGCAGAGTAATAACCAAACCTTCCTCCGACAGTATGATGCCCACTTGAGATCTTGGGCCAGCGGGCAGTCGGTAAGGATAGCTTAATGCTGTCTGTGTATAATTGATTCACATGCGCTGAAAAGGTTGAACTATGTTTAATGAGTAAAATCATATTCGAATTTCATATGTTCATATCCTATTAGATATTATGTAAGAATGAATTGCGAATCTTGCTCATTCTCTACACGTTTGCTACTTTACTTACTGGTGGGTTGTACTGACTAAATTTTTGGCGATAAGTGCCGTGGTGATAAGAGGTATACGACGACATGCGTTACGTTAACACTGACATGCAGTAATAACACACTCATCGTGATGATCGTGGTGATTAGAGGTATACGACGACACGCGTAACGTTAACACTGACATGCATTAATAATACACACATCGTGATGATCGTGGTGATTAGAGTTATACGACGACATGCGTTACGTTAACACTGACATGCAGTGATAACACACACATCGTGATGATCGTGGTGATTAGAGGTATACGACGACATGTGTTACGTTAACACTGACATGCAGTAATAACACACTCATCGTGATGATCGTGGTGATTAGAGGTATACGACGACATGCGTTACGTTTATACTGACATGCAGTAATAACACACACATCGTGATTATCGTGGTGATTAGAGGTATACGACGACATGCGTTACGTCCACACTGACATGCAGTAATAATACACACATCGTGATGATCGTGATTATCGTGGTGATTAGAGGTATACGACGACACGCGTTACGTTAACACTGACATGCAGTAATAATACACACATCGTGATGATCGTTGTGATTAGAGGTATACGACGACATGCGTTACGTTTATACTGACATGCAGTAATAACACACACATCGTGATGATCGTGGTGATTAGAGTTATACGACGACATGCGTTACGTTAACACTGACACGCAGTAATAACACACACATCGTGATGATCGTGGTGATTAGAGGTATACAACGACATGCGTTACGTCAACACTGACATGCAGTAATAATACACACATCGTGATGATCGTGATTATCGTGGTGATTAGAGGTATACGACGACACGCGTAACCTTAACACTGACATGCATTAATAATACACACATCGTGATGATCGTGGTGATTAGAGGTGTACGACGACATGCGTTACGTTAACACTGACATGCAGTAATAGTACAAACATCGTGATGATCGTGGTGATTAGAGGTATACAACGACATGCGTTACGTCAACACTGACATGCAGTAATAATACACACATCGTGATGATCGTTGTGATTAGAGGTATACGACGACATGCGTTACGTTACCACTGACATGCAGTAATAACACACACATCGTGATGATCGTGGTGATTAGAGGTGTACGACGACATGCGTTACGTTAACACTGACACGCAGTAATAACACACACATCGTGATGATCGTGGTGATTAGAGTTATACGACGACATGCGTTACGTTAACACTGACATGCAGTAATAATACACATATCGTGACGATCGTGGTGATTAGAGGTATACGACGACATGCGTTACGTTAATACTGACATGCAGTAATAGTACACACACCGTGACGATCGTGGTGATTAGAGGTACACGACGACATGCGTTACGTTAACACTGACATGCAGTAATAATACACACATCGTGATGATCGGTGTGATTACAGGTATACGACGACATGCGTTACGTTAATACTGACATGCAGTAATAGTAAACACATCGTGACGATCGTGGTGATTAGAGGTATACGACGACATGCGTTACGTATACGTTACCACTGACATGCAGTAATAATACACATATCGTGACGATCTTTGTGATTAGAGGTATACGACGACATGTGTTACGTTAACACTGACATGCAGTAATAACACACACATCGTGATGATCGTGGTGATTAGAGGTATACGACGACATGCGTTACGTTAATACTGACATGCAGTAATAGAACACACATCGTGACGATCGTGGTGATTAGAGGTATTCGACGACATGCGTTACGTTAACACTGACATGCAGTAATAGTACAAACATCGTGACGATCGGTGTGACTAGAGGTATTCGGTGTGATTAGAGGTATACGACGACATGCGTTACGTCAACACTGACATGCAGTAATAATACACACATCGTGATGAGCGGTGTGATAAGAGGTATTCGACGACATGCGTTACGTTAACACTGACATGCAGTAATAGTACAAACATCGTGACGATCGGTGTGACTAGAGGTATTCGGTGTGATTAGAGGTATACGACGACATGCGTTACGTCAACACTGACATGCAGTAATAATACACACATCGTGATGATCGTGGTGATTAGAGGTACACGACGACATGCGTTACGTTAACACTGACATGCAGTAACAATACACACATCGTGATGATCGTGGTGATTAGAGGCACACGACGACATGCGTTACGTTAACACTGACATGCAGTAATAGTACAAACATCGTGATGATCGTGGTGATTAGAGGTATTCGACGACATGCGTTACGTTAACACTGACATGCAGTAATAGTACAAACATCGTGATGATCGTGGTGATTAGAGGTACACGACGACATGCGTTACGTTAACACTGACATGCAGTAATAATACACACATCGTGACGATCGGTGTGATTAGAGGTATACGACGACATGCGTTACGTATACGTTAACAGTGACATGCAGTAATAGTACAAACATCGTGATGATCGTGGTGATTAGAGGGATACGACGACATGCGTTACGTTAACACTGACATGCAGTAACAATACACACATCGTGATGATCGTGGTGATTAGAGGCACACGACGACATGCGTTACGTTAACACTGACATGCAGTAACAATACACACATCGTGATGATCGTGGTGATTAGAGGTATACGACGACATGCGTTACGTATACGTTAACACTGACATGCAGTAATAGTACAAACATCGTGACGATCGGTGTGACTAGAGGTATACGACGACATGCGTTACGTTAATACTGACATGCAGTAATAGTACAAACATCGTGATGATCGTGGTGATTAGAGGTATACGACGACATGCGTTACGTTAACACTGACATGCAGTAATAACGCACACATCGTGATGATCGTGTTTATGATCGATATAGGTAAGTACGTCGAGTGAGGCGTGTTTGGGAAGATCACGAGAAAGTTCCCGCGTTACAGTCACGAGACCATACTTCCAATAAAATTCAGTTCATTTTTTTTATTAGTGTGTCACATGTTCATACAAACATAAAAAAATACATTTCACCAATTCAGGTAAAACCATATTAACGCCCACTCGTCCAGCCATTACTGACATAGGACACTTAAAAAGCAATTTAACGTTAGACATAACTACTTTCGCAAAAAATCACACTTATTTTACAATACGATGCAATAAAAAAAAATACAAGCAAAATATATGCATCAAATACAAATGACACAATAACAATGTGTTTTAATATTACGAGAATGTTTTTTTTCATTTCACAATATTTTGCACTCAGATCTTAAATACAGTCATAAACAGTTACACACATCATATTGTAGTGTATTAATAGCTTATTGCATGTTAATAAAAAAAAAATACGATTGTTGATACAGAAACTAGATTGCACAAACATCAGCCAAATGGTGCTTGTGGACAGTACATACTTAACGTACAAGTCTGTGCTGGTATCATTCCAAATATAAATAAGTGAACACTAGTAAAAGCGTCTAGCATCTTTAATGAACCTCTGAACCTTCTCCAGAATACTAGTATTCATATTGATATCGAGTCTTTCACAGCCATGAGGTATGAGTACTTAATGGAACAGTGTCATTAGAGATTCAGTTCTATATATTTGAAATCATATCACCTGTTGTATTAATGTTTGCCTGTTTAGGTTCCAGCTGTCAGACAGGAGTTCCCGTGCGAGATACTCGAACCACTGCCCCCAGCCACATCAGGTGGGTCGTCACACGCCTCCGTTTCAGATTACCTTTCATTTTCCCTCTCAATTTACGTTTATCCAAACGTATAAGATCGCATTGTGGCGTATTATGCCTATCCTTAACAATCTTTACTTCACTGATAATATGTTTAGTTTTCATCGCTATGATTCTAAATCTGAAACGTTTGTTGCATATATACCATCATGCCAGGTTTTTTTTTTATTTATCTACTTCTTTTATATAATATTTATGTTTATTAGAGATATTTTCTCATCAATTTCACAATTTTTTATTTGAAGTGAACGAATTGACACCGGCTGATATCAAGGTGGTAGCTGCTTTCGGGGATTCTATTACTGTAAGTGCTACTGATTGAGCCATAGCCTTCAAAAGATAATTACGAATACAATTATTTCATTGTGTATGTAAATCAAATCTGTGGATTACCTATTTTAAAGGAACAATTTGTTATACGTGTCGCTGCATATTGGGGAAGACCTGAAAAAGCGAAGATAAACCACAATTATACAGGGTTTTTTCACTCGAAAAAAATTAATGTAATGTTTTCAACATTTGGAGAGCGCCACACGATGGAAGTTTATTTCGTTTTATTGTTATCGACCGCACTCATTACTGTTTCATTATAGGCGGTATGTTTTGAATATATTTCACTCGAAAAAATAATGTCACAATGAATATTGATAACTCTCGTAACGTCTGCTAACGTAATGAGATGTGCGTAATTTGATCAATAGTACTTATTTTTGTCAAAATAAAATAAATTTATAGAACTCATTTTTATTCCAATTATAAGTTATTTACATCACCCAATTTGTAGTCAAAATATAAGTTATTTACATCACCCAATTTGTAGTCAAAATGTAAGTTATTTACATCACCCAATTTCTAAGGCATCTAACAATATACTGGTATATTCCAACAATAAACGTGATAGTTTAGAATGAATTGAGAAGACTAACGATACCGCGGGAACAGTCCGAACCCCCACAGCATTCTGGATTATTTCTGCCGAATATAGAACGTGAATCATGTGACGTAGTTTTCTTAAACAATTACAGGCTGGGACTGGAATAGATGCTGCCACACCTATAGGTCTACTGACACAGTGGCGAGGGCTGTCATGGAGGTAAGAAAACATTCAGCGCTCCAGATTGTGATAAGACCAGGCTAAACTGAAAGCTATCGCATGATAAAAACATTCTTCTAGATGTTATGTTGTACACATTCAGTGTTGTACGTCGCTGCCTTTGTAAATATTCAATTCTTCTGTTGGCACATCCGGTGGCGAACGCTGGGGTTGTCCAAACCCCTTCCCTCTTTTTAAAAATAAATAAATGCAGTAGAAAAGAGAGAAAAGCAATTTACAAACGAGGAAAAGAACGTCATAACTCCAAATGTCTAATTATTCATAACTGGAAACACATTTAACAAAAAGCATGACCATCACTACTTAATTAATTGAAATTAGTATCAGGCTTCCGCAAAGAATGTTGGTTTCTTTTCCACCTATGACTGTAATATAAAGGTCTGTAATTACTATCAATTAAGTCTCGTGTTGTGTAAATTTTGTTGTTGTTGTAATTTGCGCAACGATTGTGGTTTAAATATACAAACACGTGTTGTATACATAGTTTTTCACATACATGCATATAATTTTTTTGTAGTGATTTGTTTCACTTCGTTGTATTAGCCTGATCCCGTTGGCATGAAATAGTTTCCCTTAAAGATTGTTGATCGTTAATGGCAATATATATGGAATGTTCTTCTTGTTTGAATGACTATTTTCATGCCAAAGCGAATGTGATCGTTAACCTCCGAGATAAAATGCCTGTCATGCTCTTGACAATTAGTACCAATCTCTTCAACTCACACGAGATAAACACACAAACTGATGTTGATCTAATAATTTCTATATCCAATAAATCATTATATAGTACATTTATACAAATTTTTCTTGTTGAATTCGTCGAGATAGAAAATAGATATTTCCGTTCTATATCGAATATGCTGCACCTTAATGCTGTTAATTAAATGTAATGTTTTTACTTTTGTTTTAGTGTGGGCGGCGACGGCACCTTTGAAGATGTGATTACAATCCCGAGTAAGCTTCTTTTTTTTTTTATCCCTTTCAAGGAAAATAGTATGATAAATTGCAAAATTTCTAAAGACATGAGCGAGTATGGAAAATAAGTTCACTGCTGAATGCATCTTAAAGTATAAAAAGAGGCCCAAACAGTTTGTAACATATTTGACTCTCGGGACCCTGAAAGTGGGTCAATTTCATTCATTTTGAAGAAACTGGATGATACATGCACTCTATTTAGCACGTTTATGGCCAAATATCATCACCATAGGCCTCATGGTTATTCAGATGTCATTTTTAGGTTTTAACCGGTTTGATACTTGTTACTTTGAGGGTGGGTCAAGGTCATTCATCCAAGCATGCTACTTGCCAAATGTCATAATTCTACAAAAGCCAATGAAGGTCATGTTAAATATTTCCAATACTTGCACCAAAAACTTAAACCAACAACGACTTCACCGGGAGGAGTACCTCCCTATTTCGAATAGGCGAGCATGAGGGGAGGGGTAGAATATTCTCCCCGTTATGCTACGTATAGAAAGTATCTATAAGGCAATGTAGGTTTACTTAAACTTAAAATGACAGGACAAATGTGTGGGATACTATTATAAGGTGACTTTATTTACGAAGTGAAATGAAGTGAAAACACTTCGAATCAGAGAAAACTCCGACTAAAAGACTAAACCAACCTGCAAGTTACATTTGTGTGCTTCCATTCTGTTGTATGACATCAGACATCATTAAGAAATACAACCCGAATGTGAAAGGCTTCTCTGTGGGGACAGGAGGAGTCGATAGCAGAAATGCCAACCTCAACTTGGCTGTTCCGGGTGCTAAATCTGAGTATGTTTAACAAAGAACTTTTTCATGTTATTCAACCGAGAAAAAAGAGTTAATGTGATATATTTCCTGTAATTTTATAAAGCAGTTGCATTGCATTATTTTTTCATCAACACAGATAGTTGGTTGCTCAGTGGAAATCAATACTTTTATAATTAAGACGCGAGGGATATATATACACATATGCATGCTTTTTATCTCCAGTGAAATGAAGGAACAGGCCGAAGCATTGGTAGAACGTATGAAGGTTGAGCCTGGAGTAGACATAGAGAATGATTGGAAAATCATCACTCTGTTCGTCGGCGGAAACGATTTATGCAGCTACTGCGAAGACAAGGTAAGAATAATGTCTACCATTCCACATTCTACGTAACTGTATGATGTAGTTATCTTTTCCAATACCATATACTAATTTCGTAATGCGGCTGGTATAATGTACAATTAAATTTAAGACGATATTCTTTACATCGAAGAATCCTTTTCACTTATGGTCAATATCAATGAGCTAGACCGGGATTTTTACCCAGCAGGCGTCATGGAGTTCAATTAATATTACTATTGGATTTCAGGTGAAGATAGTCGAGTGTTGTTTATATAGCTAACAGAAATACCTTAGGAACGAAATTATATTAAATCAACAGTTGTTGAATAACATCAGTGTTACTTTCCCCATCATTAACCTTTTACATAATTTAACCAATAACTCATTGTCAGAATTATATAACAATCTGGGATGTTATATTATGGTGTCAAACGTGGTGACATTCCATTGTGGTGGCTGGAAATGAATGACCCCACAATCAATTAACACTGTCATTATATAACTTTATGCTCTGGTGAATACGTACACGTACACCAATCAACAAACCTCTAACTTTAATACACGTTTACAGACGAAGTACGCTCCCGAGCAGTACGTCGACAACATCAAGCAAGCTCTGGACGTTCTATACCAGCACGTACCAAAAGCTTTGGTAAATGTCGTTCCCGTCCTCAACATCGCCATCGTCAAGGAACTTAACCAAAACCTTGTATGTGACACTATACACTTGTAAGTAAACTATGAACAAGTAAGCGTAAAAAGATAATCCAATTTACAATTCCGAACCGATTTTTAAATAAACGTGATACACCTGATAAGTAGTATGTATAGTCGTAATGTACGGGGTTTTGGCCATTTGAACGACCTTTATAGAAGTTGTAATGAGCAGTATGTTTTACAATACCATATGAACAAGTACTGACTGTTACAAAGTCCCACAAACTACACATGTAATCACCTAATGTTTGCATTAGCTTCCTCCGAACCAAATAACAATGATATCAGTCCAAGCGAACTGGAATTATATCTCGGCCAATCAGCGTTCACCGTGACCATCTTGGGTGCCGTGGCCGACAACAAATATTGGAGAAAAAATCATAAATAGACAGAGTTAAAAGAATGTCTCTAAACGAAAAAAAATCGCAATTTCTTTTTCTGGGATGACAAGGTGAGATGAGTAGCATTTGGTAGGTAACGTAGAATCGTATCAAAATTTCAATATCGTCCTCCAACAAACTCATGACAAATTCATGATGTTAAAACACAAACAATTATGATTGTTGCAATGCTTTAAACTTGTTATGACCAGGGTTCTATGTAAGTGTGCAGCCTACCCGTCTAACAGCGAGGAGGAAACCGAAATGAAGTTGGCGGTGGAGGCCTACCAAAAACAGCTCACGGACCTCATCTCCTCCGGCCAGTTCGAGAAGGACGACTTCGCGATAATCATACAACCCTTTTTCACCAAGACTGAGCTGCCACAGAAGGTTGGTGGCACAGAAATGTATAGGTCTGAATTACTAAATGGCCAAAGACTTACTGAGACGGAGATCCGACCGAACAAAATTATAAGAATTATCCAAAGAAGGTGTACGGTAGCATAAGTCGATTCATCTCACAAGAAGCAATGCAAGATTTCAAAGATTCAATGTATAATTGTTTGGGTTTTTTGTAGGAAGGGGGTGGTCCCGACTTAGCATATTTTGCTCCCGATTGTTTCCATCTGAGTCGGAGCGGCCACCAATCTGCTGCTACAGCCCTTTGGAACAATATGGTAGGTTGATAAATTCCACTCTTACCACTTCTTTCCCATTCCGTGAAACAACCATGCCAATATTTTCAAAAATATTTCTGAAGAAAAGTAAACTTCTTGAGTACGAATAAATTTCAACACTTTCCTTTTCCAACTACCTTCATGTTAAATTGATAGCTTATGAAACCTAACTCCGTGATGAACATTACATTTACTAAAACTAAAAACTACATGGAATCATTACTAATTCTTACCACCATACCGTAGACCCTTGATAAATGGTTATTCTTCTGTGAATGCCGGAGTGCCGTAATTCAAATTCAAGCTCCCGTTGTTCCTAGCTATATGCACTCGTATCACATGCTTTAAGGGGGTATCAAAAAGACTTCTTAACATTTGTGCACGAAATGTTTTGTTCATATTTACACAATTATTATTTTCACCAGATTGACCGATCCTATCCTTTCGAAAGACTGAAATATTACGAGATAGGCGAGTGTTAATCGACACTCTTGTAACTGTTTTGACCGTTGTTTCTAGAACTCTAATATTGCAAAAAGGTAATAATCAATGCATGTGGTAGATGAATGTTAATTAGAACTGGAATAACGGGATCAATGATACAACAAGGTTTCACAAAATACTGAGTATAGATACGAAACAAAAGTAAAAGTTGTTAATTTTCAGTTCGAATTTGTCGGCGAAAAAGATGACGCCTGGGAACCCGGGGAGGAAGTCAATTGTCCAACTAAGGTATGTATCAACCAAACAAATATGTCTGCTCCTTGTCTGTTTCTGTGGATACATCATGCCACACAATTTTTTGTAGTCAGTAGGAATGGTTCTTTGAATTTTTTGGAAATAATGTCATTGAAATTCATATTCCAATGTTTTCTTTTCACAGGAAAACCGATATTTTGTTACATACCAGAATAGCATTTCTAAGAAAGGCTTTGGAGAGACAAACAATCAAGTTCAAAGTGACGAAAATCAGCCAAGCTCACCCTCGGACACTTCTATTTCCACAAGTGGTCTCATCATTGGTGCATGCGTGTGCGCTTTGGTCGCTTTCGCCGCCGTGGCAGTGATACTGTACAAGAGACGTAACAAACACACGGAGAAACATCACCTCCTCGACCAGGAAGTCAACATGTCCTATACGCAAATATAATAATTGGCTAGTTTTACAAAACTGAGTTAAATCATTTGTGAGCCAAATTCACTCGTGCAACTATTAATTAAACCAATCAGATCAAAATAAGTTAATACATTGGATAATTCAGTGCTATTAACAAAAAGCTTTACCCAAAGTTCAAGATTTGAGGGTATGGGGTCTACATTTCGATTACTGCCCATCTACACTTCAAGTATCTAATGCAGTGGCATCTATTCCATGTACATATCATCCTATTAGTTAGAGAGGGTTACCCGAAAGGCGTTAAAATGGCAAAGATATTTTGGAAAAACAGATCATTAAACATAGGGAGTCAGGGTTTTTACACCTTGAAGTGAATGTCACAATTACAGACTTGTGTTTGACGTATGCAGGCATATACTCGAGCACTTCAAGCCCATTGTTAAGTTAGTAACATGATTAATTCAGGTCGTTTTATAATGATAATATATGTGTTACATATCCTTTTGTTTTCCCTATTCCTTGATTTGATCCGAGCTATTAACAATATACATCACAAACCAGTTTTGCTGGTTTGATATGTTATGGTGAAATATAATTTGTACATCTTAATATGTTTTACAAAACTACATGATGTCTTAATTACATTTTGTACATTTCACTTTTTTCTGTTTATCTGTTCGCTTTACGACTTTATGATCAAATAATTAATGCAATAATTTTATATACATGTATGTGTATGTGTTCTGCAGAATATGTGTATGAATACCGCTAGTGCGTATGTTTTCAGAAGAAATAAATGCATTCCAATTCGAGATTATATATACAATTTGTACCAAACACAAATTGGTTACATCTGTGATATTGAAATTTTATTTTGTCAATAAATACATTTACTGAGATTTGGAGTTTCTAATTGCTTTTTCTCGGAAGTTCACCAACATGCATGTCAGTACACAAGACAGCAGAATGAAAACGTACCATATCCATATTTACCGAAATCGGAGAGGTGAATGACCGACTTCAAAATGCTTTAATCAAAGAATACAGGTCAAGTCGCATGGAATCTAAGTTGTGCCTACACATATTTTATTTTTGAAAAGGTTCCTGTGTCAATATTTGATCTTATTTTTGGGTATTTTTATAGCATCACATTTACATTAAGTCTACGTCACATAGTTGGACATACCTCCTTTGTCTATTGTGTCCTGTATCGATGTTCCTGGTTTCACTATTTTTGTGAAAACCAAAGTTGATACCTTAATTTTCATGTTACACAGTATATGTGAACTTGACCACGGGACTGCTCTTAACAATCCTAGATTCTGTTCATATGCTTTCAGGAAATTCTGTCAATTATGCATCCCTGAAACAATTATTTCAGAAAAAACACGACGAGAGAGTGGCTCACATAGACGTGTGGCGTTTGACCCTATAACCTCGACTTGATGATCATCAAATTTTATCAGGTGTAGAGGTTTACTCCGGCGATGCTGTAAATTCTAAAATGAAAATGTTGACTGCTTCATGAGATATCTTGTACATAATAAGCCTTTTACTATGGACAGACGCATGGATACAAATATTACTATATCCCCTTTTATACTAAATTGGGTATCATTACCACTAGTTCCTACGAAGCAAAATCACAAGTCGGCACTCTGTTTCTTGTTTAAATCAATTATTCTTATTTTCAATAGGAATCAATGTCTTTTCCTAAAACTGTTGTACTTAAAAGATTCTTTTCCTAAAACTATTGTACTTAAAAGGTTGCAAATTGATCTTGTTCAACAGCATTGTAAAATCACCAACGTCTTCTTTCACAACAACAACTTAACTACTTAAATTATGTACTTAAAACTGGTCACAATCATATTACAATACTGGCTTAATCAATCTCACAATTCTTGCATACAAAACTTACACTTATAAATATCTGGCGTACTTTTTAAACATCCATATGGTTAAGAATTAAACTGCCCCACAATGCAACTTAAAACAAAATCATTTAATTCATTTAAATTGTCAAAATCAATAAAAAGCTGTTCCATATAAATTCTGCACTGTAATAAATAGTGATGTATTAGTCCAATAGACTTTACTTTCTTCATTGTTAATCTAAATTTTCCTCAATGGCAAGGTTCAACTTATATGGAAATTCAGGCAACAACAATCATTCCATGTAATCTTGGTCTAGTCTGTGTGTTCTTGATAATGCATCTTTGATCAAGATACGAATTGAAGTAAAGATAATACATGAAAACATCAAACCTTCATGTAGGAAAATTAAATGCCATAGACGGTAAACATGGATGTCTTCCAAGACACATTAGACACTATCATCAAGTGTTAAATTGAAGCGTAGCTAGAAATTATCCCTAAATTGCACACTTCATCCAACACAAAACAGTACAATCATTTATCACAACAGCAGGAGAGCAATGGTATACCCATGATCTGAGCTCTTTCCTCCTTCTAATCACATAATACTGTCAAGTACCCTATCATGTATAGCTACTGAAGTTGTTCCCCACAATAACAGTTGTGCATTTGTAACAAATAACATAGTCAACAGCCAAGTAAATCCAGTCAGCCTGTTCAAAGTTTTATCTCCATGGTTAAAAAGTACTAGGAAATCCATCCACCGTCAGCTGCCTTTGTATGTGTTAATAAAATGAAATCCTCGGCTCGATTTCTTTGTTTCAACATTCTCAATGTTAACATCAGTCACTCCTCCTCGGCAGTGGTTAAGTAATCTTTGTAGACAGTGGTTTGTTTCTTTCACTGTAATATAAAAGTGTAATTCTAGATTAATCATCGAAAAAATGTTATAACTACTGAAAAACTTCCGTTTTTAACGGTAGGAATAATAACTTCTTCATAAAATAGCTCTTTTAACAAGTATTGTTTGAATATTGTTCAAATGTTTACCAATGCCGAATGTTGGAATTCAAAAGGGAGTGAAATATAGAATGCAGTACTTTATACAAATATTTATCTAAAAGGTAGTTTAATTTATATTGTAGTTTGTTCATAATCTCTTTGAAAAAAAAGTGAAAAGGGCTTCAAATCCTAAAGCATTGCGAAAATAATCTATCAAAAATTATTTGGATGTAATATTTCCTTAGTGCAATGGCAATAATTCTGTCTAAAAAGGGATGAAAATTGATGGGGTGAATATCTTGAGGCATTGCATTATAAAGGCCAAAAATTAGATGTGGAATCGTTTGTATGAATTTTGCCAAATACAACACAATAACTTTTATAGTACTGAAAACTCAGCAGGAAGCAATCTTTAAAACAGAATTATATAGTTAATACTATGGATGCATGTTTACATTCTAGCTTAAAAAAAATCATATTCTGACAAAGTTGGATAACCTGTTGAAGAACAGGTTCTACCTTATATAGTCGTCTGATGTCTTGTCGGCTGTCCATTTCAGTTTATCTTTGGTAGGAAGTGCAGGATGATAGAATGTACATTGACCCTTCTTCATACAGGACATACCAAACCTGCATGGCTAAAACAAAGACAATAAGTTGAAATACTTATTCTTTTGTTTATTTGTGCTAGATAAAATTGAGTCGAATCATAGTTATTAAGCGTAACATTATCTATTAAAGCAGTGGTATACTTAATATATATATGTATGTATTTTCAATCTGAAACTAGCTCGATAAATTATGTTATTCAACCGTGCATATATAGCCAAACTAATTAATAGCAGTTAAGAATAATTTCACATTGCCAAAGAACAATGAACATTATACTACCTATGTTATTATACTCACTGTAGGATGAGGAAATGGACAAGACATGTTTTTACAGTTTGGATAGAATTTACAGGTGACTGATGAAGAAGTAGGTGACATGTATGATGGGCGGATGGAAGCAGGTCCAGGCGCAGGAATAGTTACCGGCACAACTACAACAGAACAGATATAAATCCTTCCATACCAGTTCCATACCATTTGGTATAATTCTCATGTACTGACAGAAGAAATAATAGTATTCGTAGAATCTCCTATAGGTAAATTTGCTATCTATAAGTATTCAAGCTTTTTCAGAGGTATTATTTCATCTAGCCTGAAAAACTGTAGTCTAAATTCCTAACAATTATCTCAGGAAAGCATATTTCGCATGTATGCCTCACAAAATGACTCAAATATCATAATCATTAAAACTGCCTTCAATCTTTTCTTTCTGGAATTGATCTAAGTATTTAATTTGTTTTACATTTTTAGCTACATATTACTTTCGTTCAAATTAATGATCTCCGTTTTTTTTCTAATATTTCTAACTTCTCTTTAATATCGATGCTAGATAATACTCACTCTTTTGTATAACAGTGGTGGCTATGGTGCCCCGTTTACTGGCATGTGTATAAGGACAGTCTTTCCGTGTACACTTTGCATCAAACTTACAGTTGGGATGGATAAACAAACACCTATCTCCAAATTTACACTGTGGAAACATTCTGAAAGTAAAACAAAAAGTTGAACCAAATCTTTCTTTCAAAGATATAAAAAAAAATCATCTCCAAATTTCGTGAGCAGAATTCTTCAGTGATTAACATAAGTTACTGCATTCCAATATAAGAATAGATCAATAGTGCTACACAAGATCGTTTTCAATATCAAATTTACGTTTTTATGTATCACTACCATAGTAATTATAAGTGAAAAATTAGGCCAAAATTAGAAAGCAATGTAAAAAGAACCATCAAGATCGACAAAAGAGGGAGAAAGACAGCTGACCATAGAATGACCTAGACATAATGGAAGACAGAGTTCAGGAACGAAATGGGATATATAATGGGTTTTCCAACTTCATTAACACCTGATGGTGAAATGCTGACAACAGGGAGCAAGAAATTTGAAGAAATCTGTAATGAGCCTTTGAACAAAACTGCAAAAGAACTTACTTGCAGGGGACAGTAGGATGGTGATAGGAACATGCATTTCCGTTTACACATGCTGGCCAGAATCTACACTTTTCCATCATCTTGGCTTTCTTCAAGGGACTATCCTCGTCATCTTCAGCTTCCATCTCTTCTTCATCTGTTTCAAGTAAGTTTGCAGTTTACTAGATAATCAAGTATGCAGTACCTTCAGAATAGTGAATTGTTGGCAGATCTGATTAAGTGTTGAATACGAGTGCTATATAGTTTACTCATTACAAAATAGTTATTTGTACATTTGTAGTACTTACCATCTGTGTCCCGGAGGTTGATGGAGATTGGTCCTATGGCTGGAGGGGATATATTCGGCTTCTTCATCTCAATGAGATTCACCTGCGGATGCTTGACTCGCTTTGGTTTGTAGGTGTTGGAGAAAGTAGGGGTCACCCGTTGTACTATGTCCATAGACTGCTGTATCATGTCTGCAGACTGTTGGGTAACGGACTGTTGTGCTATTATGTCCTGTAAAACCATCTCGTTCTCCTCATTAGACCTGCCCATAGCTACCTCGTACTTATCATGGTCCACACCATCCAGCGTCACTATGAACTTGGGATTACGAACTACTTCAGTTTCAGTCCTAGAAGAACAAGCAAAACATAATTTCAAATTATCCCGGAAAACGTATGGATGTCCAAATCTTGTACATCTCTATGTTCCGCGATATTCGAATAGCTTTGTAATGTTTACCTGAATTTCAAAGATATCGTGTATGCTTTATATGATATTATAAAGATTGTTTGAATAGTAAATGGTGATAGAATGTATTAACGTTTTTTTTTGAAATACGATATTGTATCTATATGTAAACGTATTGATCTCAAATAACCATTAATGTGTAACTTGCTGTGCGTCGAGATGCTGGTCACTCGTAACCGATTTTGCAAAAATTCAAAAAATAAAAACTTAAAAAACAGACACGCTGAAGTGTCAAAACATTAAAAGTAATTCGAAACCTTAATCAATAAAAATAGGGCAAAATAGGAACATTTATTTGGGGACCCTTACAAAATTACAAGAATAAAACCAGATGTTCTGGAAGTGTCTTCCATTTGTCCAACGACATACACCATGTAAAATAAAAGTAGGTCAAATCCAAGTAATGCAAAATCCCCATTACGAAAACCAGGCTAGTGACAACAAAATAAACTGATGTTAAAAACAAACCTTTGCTGTATGAATCTCCTTTTGTCCAGTTGGCTTTTATTGACAGGTTGTGCTCGATATTCCACATCCTCCATTACAAGGTCAAGGTCGTCATTCTCCTCCTCATGTACCTGTTGCATGTCTGTATCATCCATATATATAATGTTGCCATTTTCTGTACTGTCATCTACAGTCTCATCTGGATTGCTCTCGCTTTCCTCTTCCACTTCATCCACTGAAGCCACGCCATCTTTTGTCATATCCTCTGCGACGTCTACTTCAGAGTTAGTTGATGTTTCTTCCTTCTCCTCGCTGTCTTCTTCAGCCTCATCCTGTATAGGCACACACTGGACTCGGCGGCTGTCCATCACAGGAGAAACCCGAGCCACTTCTGAAACACAAATGGAATCACTTATTGCATTTAATTTGTTTAAAATCTCCGTTGGCACAAATTATAAAAAGTTCCAACAAAGTCCTGAAAAGTTATACATTTTGATAGTTATAACATTAATCATTTGAGGCTTAGTTATGTATAACTGCACTATTTTCTATTATATTACATGCTTTAGTATATTTACATGTAACATTCCTGTACATGACGGTACAATGCAGTATCACTTTGTGCTAGGTAACAAACTATACATGAAATAAATGCATAACAACCCGGACAAATCTTGTGCTCCTTAATTATTTTTTTTCACTATTTAATAAAGAATATTATTAAATGTTCCTTTTCCATAGCCTGACCATAATTACGAGCGAACTTAACCAAGCGGTGAGGGTTGATATCGCACCAGCTACCAGGCAAGTAGGCAATATGTGACAACTACCTGAGTTTTGTGCTCATTTTTCATAACTGTCTTCTGTCTATACGTATTCATGTATAATGACCCCATATCTGATATAATGACCTATCAATTCTTCTCAGCTAGCCCATCGTAACTAATATCAACATATTATAACCTCAGAGTATTTCTGTACTTGTTAACGTGTTCCTTTTCCACCATCTGATGATAGTTACGAGCAAACTTCGCCAGGCGGTTGGATAGGGTTTATATCGCACCAGCTAAGTAGGCAATATGTGACAACTGCCTGAGTTTTGTGCTCATTTTTCATAACTGTTTTCTGTCTATCCGTATTCATGTATAATCACCCCGTATCTGATAGAATGACCTATCAATTCTTCTCAGCTAGCCCATCGTACCTAATATCAACATATTATAACCTCAGAGTATTTCTGTACTTGTTAACGTGTTCCTTTTCCACCATCTGATGATAATTACAAACAAACTTCACCGGGCGGTGGTATAGGGTTGATATCGCACCTGAGTTTTGTGCTTCTTTATCATTCAAATAGAAATGGTATAAAAATAGATTGCAATATTTTTTGATGCGTTCCGTGTTTCTTGTCTATTACATATTGTAAACATAATTATAAGAATTTCTTCTCCATTGTAATAAAGATTGGAT